ATGAGTTGCCGGATGATCCTAATGAGATCACCCAAGGGAGGACAAGGACTGTGGGCCCCTGTATACAAATGGGCCTGGCCACCAATCATAGCCTCTTTGTCCTTCAGTTTCTCTCTCTACACCCCCTCTTCCCAGGAGATAAAGAAATCTTTAGGTTATTTTCTCTCACTGCCTTGAAGAAAAAGATTAACAATCACTTCCTTTTGTTTAGAAACGTACCAAGTGTCTGAGACTTGCACCTATTCTCGTTTATATGAAAAATGTCCAGCCTGGGCCGGGGAGCTCAGTTAGTTAGAGGTCATCCCAATACGTCCAGGTTGAGGGTTTGATCCCTGGTCAGGGCACATGGAAAACGCAACCAATGAATTCATAAATAAGTGGAAGATCAAATCAATGTCTCTGTCTCCATCTCTCTCTACAAAGAAAAGGAGAAAGAAAAATAGTCATCAAGTGGCTAAATGCTTTCTGGGCAATGCATCCTTTATTTCATTCAGTTCTTATAATAAACCTCATGAAGTAGGTCTGTTATGATGCCCATTTCACAGATGAGGAAACTAAGGTATAGAACATCTAAGCAACATGTCTCCCAAGAATGAAAATAATAAAACTTCCGTCTCTGGAAAGTTATCTTAGCTGCAACCCCACACTGTGATCCCTTGAAGGGCACCAAGCCCCAACTAGGGAACTCTTGAACTTTTACCAAACATTCTAGTGCAAATTGGGTACCAACACTGCTCCCTGGGGAAAAGCATGGGAGTCAGCAGGGTGAGGAGAAGCTGTGGGGCTAGTGCAGTATATTCTAGGGACTGGGAGGTACCCCAAAGTGCTCCTGGAGGTCCCAGCAGCCCTCCCTTGGCAGGTTTTTCTTTGCGTGTGGAGTTGGCCCTTAGTCTGGGTAGATGCCCACCAGACCAGGAGATTGAGGTATACACCCAGAAAACCTGGGATGTGTTTACTCCAGGCCTCTGTTACGCTTTTATTATTACAGATTTTTACAGCCCTGGTCTTGGAGGGTACACTGGAATCACTCATCCGGGGATCAGTAGTTAACTCTCTGGGAAACCCCAGAATCCTTTACCCCCAGGACTTGGAGACTATCTGCCCCTGCACTGCCAGAAACCTCCCTGTGCCTAGAGCTATGCCTAGAGCTATGTTTATATGTGCAGTTCCTGGGAAGGCAGGCTGAGGGAGGCTTTGAGAGGGCCTAACTCCCAGTTTCCAAGGCCAGTCTCATGGGGCTAGGGGGCAGGGCAGAGAAACTCTGGGGGAAGGTCTTGCTTCCAGTTGTCACTAAATGGAGATAATCCCACCCAACTTTCTTGAGTGCTTACCACATGCCAGCCCTGTGCTAATCCTTACACTCCATCTCATCGCATGCGCACAATAGTGGTAACAGTGGTTAGCACAGTCTATGGAACAGAGGGGCTGGGTCTCTTCCCATTCCCACAGCTCACCAGCACCCTTTTTGGGTCCTGGGGCTTTGTACTTACCCCCTCCCAGTGCTTCTCAAAGTGTGATTCTGGGGCTCTCAGGAAGGCATCTGTGGCCTCAAGTGAATCAGTCCCTGAGACGAGGCCCAGGAGCCAGCGTTTTAGCCTGTGAGGCCCACATTTCTAGGCCCCCCTGCAAGTTCCTGATGAAATAACTTCCAGCTAAGGAGCTGGTCAGAGGAGGGAGCAAGCAGGGAAGGTGCTCCCTGCTGGGTTTACATGTGTTCTATTTGTGGGAGCAGGAGGAGGCTGGGGTCCCAGCATTCATGGCTCTTCCCTGCCGACAGCTCCCTCCTTCCCTGTGGACATCCTGCAATCAGGTGAGAGGGGCCTGGGGGACATCTGAGTGGAAGGGTATTGAGGGTGAGAGGACTTAGTGAGGGGGCCCAGGAAGGCAAGTGGGAGCCAGGGAGGTCCAACATCAGGTCAGACTTGTGTTCTTTTTCAGAAGGAAAGACCTATACAAGGTTTCGAGCAGAATGACTGTGTTGGGGGTTCAGGAAAACTGGGCTGTGGGAACAGGGACTGGAGGGAGAAGGGAGGTTCCTGCAGTCGTCCTGGGAGAGCTGAGGACCTCCAGGGAGAAGGGTGGAGACTGCTGCCCCGGGGCTGGGGATGGAGGAAGGGAAAGAGGCTGGTGTGAAGCTGGGGTCAGGATGGTACCCTGGGAGTCTCATTAACTCCCCAGGGGCCAGTGGGACGTCCTTGGAGGCTCCTCTGAAATGGGGGGTAGGAGGAGGTGGGGCTGGAGGGACACCCTAGTAAGGACTTATGCTGAAAGTCAGCACCTTGCAGGGAGGCGACAGCGTGTGAGACCCAAAATCTCTCAGTGAGGGTTCGGAGAGAGAAAGGTGCGCCTGGAGGCGCCCCGTCAAACGCTTGGAAACACAATGACATGGTTTAGGTGGGTGTGTAGGTGGCCCCAGATGAGTGCGTCTAGATTCAGAGGCGGGGTGGGCGGGCTGCGGGGGGGGCGGGGGGGGGGCGGCCCTGCCCTCTGGTGGCGGTCCTGGACGGGGCACCCCGGCCACCGACAGGCGGGGCGGCGGGGCGACGGGCGGGCTGTTGGTGGGCCGGCCGCCGACAGCGTCCAGTCTGCCAGTCCGCTCTCTCCTGGCTCCGCATCTGCCGGTCGGGTGTGCTCCCCGCCCCTGGAACTCCGGCCGCAGACGGCATGGTAGGTGAGCGGGATGCCGCAGTGGCCGAGAGCGCTGTGGCTGGACCGGGCGTGGGGCGTGGGCAAGAAGAGGCGGGAGGAGCGCGGACTGGGTCTTCCCCGGCCGTAGAGGTCTGAGGGTGCTGTTGGGGCGCCCCATCTCCGGGGGACTCGCGGATCATTTGTCTTACTGCGCGCGCCGCGGGGCGACCCTTCCCGGTGGTGTAGGGAGCCTCCCGTGAACCTGGGTCTGCGCTGCGCTGGTCCAGCTCATCCCCGCGCCTCCCGCCCAGCGGGGTAGGGGGAGGCAGAGGCTGCGCTTGAGTGGATGAAAATGCGCCAGGATCCCAAGATGCGGGGATTATGCGTGGGAGGGGCAGGGAGGCTGGGGGATTTTGTTTGGAGAGGAGGAAGATACTCTGATTAAGAATGCCTGGGGGACCCTATCACCCAGTTTAATACCTCACTGTAGTTTAAAAAAAAGAAAGAAAGAAGGAAGGAAGGAAGGAAGGAAGGAAGGAAGGAAGGAAGGAAGGAAGGGAGGAAAAGAAAAAGGAGAAGAATGCTTGGGTCTGGGAGAGCAAAGGACCTGGAAAAGAAAGTATTTGCACGGGTATGTGGGCCACCTGAGCTGCCAAGCCTGTGACTGAAGAGAGGAAACGGGGCTGGAGGAATAGGGAGAAGATCCGGGAACCAGCCTGAAAATCCAGTTGCTGGAGGGGAGGGCTGATGGAGGGGGTGGGCTTGGGGAACAGGCTCTGGAGGACAGTCTGGGGCTGCTACCTCCCTTCCCTGGACTGCCCTTCCCTTTCCATGTGGGGAGTAGGGTCATGTACTGTGCACTGAAACAGCACCCAGAATGTACCAGGTGCACTCCTGAGAACTTTGTGTCGTCTCTCATTTAATCTTCACAGAAACTGTAAGGTAGGCTCTATTGACACCCCCATTTCACAGACGCGGAGACTGGGGCACAGTAAGGGGAGGTAACTGCTAGGCTAGCATGTGACAGAGCTGACATTTGCTCCCAGGACAGTTTGTTTAACACCATGGCCTTGGTTCTTAATCACTGTATATGGTGGACTGGCAGAGATGGGCAGCCCGAGAGAGGAGAGCGAACCCTAGAACTGAGAGTGTTAAGGGTGTCAAATATTTCAACTTCTAATAGTTTAGGTGATGGAAAACAGAAATAAGAAAGAACTTTTGGCTATGGCCAGTATTGCTCAGTGGTTAGAATGTCGGTCTATGCACCTGAGGGTCTTAGATTCTATTTTCAGTCAAGGGCAGGTACCTGGGTTGCAGTTTTGATCCCCACCACCCCCTCCCACCCCATTTGGGGTACATGTGAGAGGCAACCAATAGATCTCTCTCTCTCTCTCTCCTCCCCCTCCCCCCTCCCTTGCACTCTCTCTAAAAATCAATGGGAAAAATATCCTCACTCCTTCAGTGAGGATTAAAACAATAAAGAATCAACTTTTGGATCAGCGTTCCATCTTTTAGCCCTGGGTCCCCTCAGTAACTCAGCCCCCTCAGTGGGGTGCTGATAACCTGGCCCTTCTGTGTGTCAGGCAGGCCTCTTTCAGGGATTAAACTCTCTCAAGCCTCCTAATAAGGAAACAGCTGCAGAGAGGTTACCAGGCAAATGGTCACACAGCCTGGGATTGGGGAGGCTGGATTTGAACCCAAGCAGTTGCCTACTGAGTCCTTGTTCTTCAAGACCACATGATACTGCACATTGCCCATTTTACAGATGCCCAAACTGAGTACCTGTCTCAGAGTCTGTGGCTTGAAAGGGGAGAGATTCAAGGGAAAACTGCTGATGGCAAAGCCCATGTTCAAGAGGATTCATCATTTAGTCAAAGTTTCAATAGATTGACAAATTTCAAATTGAAGTCCACTTGTTATCTTTTGTAAAAATATGTATATTGATTTTAGAGAGGGAGAGAGAGAGGAACATCACTGTGGGAGAAACATCAATCAGTTGCCTCCCGTACATATCCCAACAGGAATTGAATCTACTGCCTGGGTATATGCCCTGTGATTGGGAATCAAACCGGCGGGGGCATGGGACAACCCTCAACCAACTGAGCCACATCAGCTAGGGCTTTATGATTTTGAAGATGTACTTTTATTTATTTAATTTTGGTTAATCCTCACCGGAGGATATTTTTTCCATTGATTTTTTTTTTTTTTTTTTTTTTTTTTTTTTTTTTTTTTTAGAGTGGAAGAAAGGGGGAGAGACAGAGAGAGAAACATTGATGTGAGAGAGACACATCGATTGGTTGCCTCGGGGATCAAGCCTGCAACCGAGGTACATACCCTTGACCGGAATTGAACCTGAAATCTTTCAGTCCACCATGCAGGTTAGCCCGTTGCCCACAGGTGACGCTCTAACTGCTGAGCCAAACCGGCTAGGGTACGATGTACATTTTTACATCTCTGAAGTTGTAATGCACCTTACAATGGAAGGCAGACTTCTTTCTCAGCAGTACATAAATAATGGCACCTTTGGTTTAATGAATTACAACAGAACCTGGGTTCCCTAAGTGACTTTTCTGAGTGTCTCTGTATTCTGTTCCACAGGTTCCTTTCTGCCTCAATTGTTCCATCTTCCCTGGAGACATGTCCCTCAGGGGTGCAAGGAGCCCGGTGCCCTGCAATGGCAGTAGGGAGTGGGGGCACTTTGAACCTGAGGATTTTGACCTTGAGGATTTGAACCTGACTGATGAGGAGCTGAGACTCAAGTATCTGGGGCTCCAGAAGACGGAGCTGTTCCTACCCATTTGTGTCACATACCTGTTGATCTTTGTGGTGGGCACTGTGGGCAACGGGCTAACCTGCCTGGTCATCCTTCGCTACAAGGCCATGCACACGCCCACCAACTACTACCTCTTCAGCCTCGCAGTATCGGACCTGCTGGTGCTGCTCCTAGGCATGCCCCTGGAGCTCTATGAGAAGTGGCGTAACTACCCCTTCCTCCTGGGTGCTGGTGGCTGCTACTTCCGCACGCTGCTCTTTGAGACCGTCTGCCTGGCCTCTGTGCTCAATGTCACCGCCCTGAGTGTGGAGCGCTACGTGGCCGTGGTGCACCCACTGCAGGCCAGGTCTGTGATGACCCCAGCCCATGTTCGCCGGGTGCTTGGGGCTATCTGGAGCCTTGCCTTACTCTGCTCTCTGCCCAACACCAGCCTTCATGGCATCGAGCTGCTGGATGTGCCCTGCCGGGGTATAGTGCCTGACTCGGCCGAGTGCAAGGTGGTCCGCTCAAAGGCCTTCTACAACCTACTCATGCAGGCCACAGCATTGCTCTTCTTCTGCCTGCCCATGGCCATCATCAGCGTGCTCTACCTGCTCATTGGGCTGCGGCTGCGGAGTGAGAGGCTGCTGCTGCTCAGGCAGGGGCCCAAGAGCAGGGTCCAGCAACCACAGGATAGGAGTCGGACACAGGTGACCAAGATGCTGTGTAAGTGTTGCTGCTGGGAAAAGGGGCTGATCGAGACAGTGGGTATGAGTCTGGGGCTTCCAGGGCCTGGGGGAGGTGCTGCATCCGAGTTTAAGAGTGTAAGGCTTGGAATTACATACCCCTCTGTGTGTGCGTGTATGTACAGGTGCACATACACATGTGCATGCATGCATACTGTTTTAGAAACTAACACCAGAGGTAAATGCTAATGGCTTCTGGCAGGATCAGCTACATAATTTGCAGGGCCCAGTGCAAAATGAAAATTCAGGTTTCTTGTTAAAAAATCATTAAGATTGTCAAGACAGCAACAGTAGAGCATTAAACCATTTTAAACTCAGGCCCTGTGCAAATGCACAGGTGGCTCACGGACCCAAACCACAGACAGGACAGGTGACATTGCTGGGGTCCAGGATAACAGAGCTGTTCATGGCATCTGCACCCTCCAGGTCTCTCATCTTGGCTGCGAAACATGTCTTGGCTCTGTCCTTTCCTACAGCAGCCTGAAGGCATGGCCATAGGCTTTCCTGAGGAACTGTTCTCTTTCCTTAGTGGCTATTGAAAAGTTCCAGGAAAGGATTCTGGTAAGTGGGGTTAGGTCATGGCCCATCCCCAGGCCAGAATAACAGGATGCTGAAGTGACTACTCCCACAGAACCATATGGGGGGATCTGGGAGGATCTGCATATGCAAGATGATGATTTCTTCCATCTATGTTTGCAGTTCCCTGGGGACCACAGGAGTGATCAGTGTCTAAAAGAGGATTGTCAAATAAATAAATAAATAAATAAATAAATAAATAAATAAATAAATAAATAAAAAAAAGAGGATTGTCAGGAGGGGTGTTTGTGAGGGTCAGAGCATAGGAGAATCAGGGCAGAAGTGTGGACTGGGGCCAGCCAGGGCATGCAGCTGGGTTGAGGTTCTAGATGTTACTGTGCTCTAGACGGGGCTCTTTTTCAAAAACAGTGGCCGCAGGGAAGCAAGACAAACTGATACTAAGTCAGTCATTGATTTCCATCCCATCTCATACCATCTTAGCAGGGCCTGAATCAAGCAGATGGGTTGAGCCAGGGCAGGACAGGCTGGTGAGGCCTTGGTCAAAGCCATGGGATTACAGCCAGCTGAGGACTGCCCCATTCCCAGAGAGAAGCCCACCCCCCACCCGCCCCCTGCCCTGGGTGTGGTGTCCCAGGGAGTGGTGTCACTTGTCATCCCCCGGAGTTCCTTGCTTGCTTCCCAGCTCTGCACTGTGAAGCCTGTACTACAGACCAACTGGCCCCTGCCCGCCCCGCCCAGCCCCCTCCCGCCCTCCTCTCTCAGTCTCCTCCAGATCACAGGGTCCAGGTCTGAGTCTGCTCAGTTGGCATGGTTCTCACCCTGGGCAGGAGGGCGGGGAAGATGTTTCCTTAAAGCCACCTTGGTTGCTGGCCTGGGACTCTGGCTTTCTTCTCTCTCTCCATCCCTCCCTCCCTCCTTCCCCCACCCTCACTTTCTGAAGGCCTACTGTGCAGCAGGCTGTGTGCTGGGGACATTGGAATCTGGGATTACAAGCAAAACCACACTAGGCTGACACTGCAGGGGAAAGATAGTCAGCTAAACAAACACAAGAAATAAGAAACAAAAATCAAGGCAGCCCTAGCTGGCTTTGCTCAGTGGATAGAGCATCGGCAGCATAGGCCTGTGGACTGAAGGGTCTCGGGTTCGATTCTGGTGAAGGGCACATGCCTGGATTGTGGGCTTGATCCCCAATAGGGGGCATGTAGGAGGCAGCCAATCAATGATTATCTCTCATCATTGATGTTTCTCTCTCTCTCTCCCTTCTTCTCTGAAATCAATTAAAAATTTAAAAAAAAAAAAAAATCAAGGCAGATCCGGTGACAGAGACCCAAGAAGATCATGGCTGGTTAAGACTAGGGCTGGAAGGAAGCTGGGGAGAAAGAGTGAGGGCTTGGCCAACCTGTCCTGTCTTTTGCTGGATGGTAGGGAATGGGATCTCAGGAAGCCAGCAGTTAGTACAGGGCAGGATATTCAGCTGGGCCTTAGAGAGCTGGTGGCTGGGGCTGGGAAGGCTCTGGGGCCAAGGCAGACAAGGGGAGGTGTTTGTGTTTTCTCTGGCCCCTTAACCTCCATCTACTGCTGTCTGAGCATGAGCCCCATTCTTCTGCTTCTCTCTGCTTACCCATCAGTAAGCATTGTCCCCAAGTGGGCACCCAGGGTGGGCCTTAGACGCACAGTGGGCTGTGGCCAGGGGCAGGGCACACACCCACTGCCCACCCAGTGACAGAAGTGAGAGCAGCCTCTCTGAAAGGGTGTGGCCAGGGCAGGCGAACTTCCAGAAACTTCCAGATGGACAGTGGGCATGGGTAGCCTGTGGAATAGGAGGGGGGGTGAGAATGAGCAGACCAAACTGGAGCAGCACCCAGTCTCCTTTCTCTGCCCCTACAGTTGTGCTGGTCCTGGTGTTTGGCATCTGCTGGGCCCCGTTCCATATCGAACGTCTCATGTGGAGCTTCGTGTCCCCCTCAACCGAGTACCTGCTCGTGGCCTACCAGTACGTACACATCATCTCTGGCGTCTTCTTCTATCTCGGCTCTGTTGCCAACCCCGTGCTCTACAGCCTCATGTCCACCCGCTTCCAGGACACCTTCCGGGAAGCCCTGTGCTTGGGAACCCGGTGCCGTGGCCACAGACGACGTCACAGCTCCCACAGTCTCAGCAGGGTGACCACGGGCAGCACCCTGTGTGACATGGGCTCCCTGGGGAGCAGGGCCCACCCTCTGGCTGAGAACTATGGCCCAGAGGGACAGCAAGAGACTGACCCCTCCCTCCATAGAGGAGACTCACAGCAGCTCCACCTGGAGGCACCAGAGGGCCACTTGTAGCCACACCTGCCCTCCTCTTCGGTGATGTCTTCATGCCTGTGCCCTTTATGCCCTGTTCCCCCTGCAGCCACCTTAGTGACTCCGGCTCCCGCCATGTACTAGAAGGGATATACGATTACCCTCTAGGCCCCTAGGCCTCAGTTAAAGTCCTTCCCTGCAGGAACATCATAGTTGGTTAACTGGCACAGCACACCTTCTTTTGGGGACATCCCCACTCCTGCCACAGTTTCCAAAATGTTTTCCCAAGGCTCTGCCTTCCCTCCCATTTTCTGTCCCTTTCTAGCTCATGGCCTGCACCTGGGACCCTCCTCCTACCTGACCCCTCCCTGGCCCGGTCAGCTTATTCTGCTCTGGGATCTCCACTGGTGGCACTGTTGGGTGGCAGGGATGCCAGGGATCCAGGGGACCTGCTTCCAATCCTAGCCCTGTTGCCACCTTGCTGCGTGGCATCAAGCATATCAGCTCACCTTCCCAGGCCTTGATCCCCTGCTTGCAAAATGAAACAGGCCCCGATATTCTAAGTGCCACACTTTGACTCTTTAGCTGCATTTTCTGCGAGTGTGCGTAAGTCACTGCTGTAATGAAACCCACTGATACCCTCAGATTACCAAGACGGAAATTACTGTCTACGCGCTCACCACCCCAACCCCTCTTCCTCCCTGACCTCCATACGCACCACCTCCCATGCCCCCCTTCTGGTTGCACAACAATGTGAACATGCTCAAACAATATTCAACTGTATGCTTAAATGGTTAAGATGATAAATTTTGCCGAAACCGGTTTGGCTCAGTGGATAGAGCGTCGGCTTGTGGACTGAAAGGTCCCAGGTTCGATTCCGGTCAAGGGCATGTACCTGGGTTGCGGGCACATCCCCAGTGGGAGATGTGCAGGAGGCAGCTGATCGATGTTTCTCTCTCATCGATGTTTCTAGCTCTCTATCTCTCTCCCTTCCTCTCTGTAAAAATTCAATAAAATATATTAAAAAAAAAAAGATGATAAATTTTGTTGTGTATTTACCAGTATTTTTTAAATCTAAGATAAGCAGAAATTGTCATTTATTTTTTTAAAGCCCCACACAACAGTCTGTAATACTTAGTAATCATTCGAATTCACTGTTTTTAAAACTTTTTTTTTTTTTAAGAAGAAAGATGAGAACAGATTGAAGGCATTTGGTTCTAGAAACATTTACATTCTTCTGACAGTCTAAACCTCTTCAGCACAGGCCTCACCCTCTTTCAAGTTCCTGCACAGGACAGAGCAGGACAATTGGGGCTGTTTAGGTACAGATGTCAAGGCCAATATCCTGTAGAGCAGCGGTTCTCAACCTGTGGGTCGCGACCCCTTTGGGGGTTGAACGGCCCTTTCACAGGGGTCGCCTAAGACCATCGGAAAACACATAGATAATTACATATTGTTTTTGTGATTAATCACTATGCTTTAATTATGTTCAATTTGTAACAATGAAAATACATCCTGCATATCAGATATTTACATTACGATTCATAACAGTAGCAAAATTACAGTGATGAAGTAGCAATGAAAATAATTTTATGGTTGGGGGGTCACCACAACATGAGGAACTGTATTAAAGGGTCAGGGCATTAGGAAGGTTGAGAACCACTGCTGTAGAGGTACATAATGAAGTATTTACAGGCAAAATGATAGGATGCCTGGGATTCACATTAAAATACTTAAGCAAAAAAGGAGGAGGGGGAAGGGAAGGGGTGAGGAGGTAAAAGTGGGGCAGGGAATAGTTGAGAAAAGAAAGGCAAAAATATTGAAGTTTTGCCCTGGTTGGTTTGGCTCAGTGGATAGAGCTTCAGCCTGTGGATGGAAGGGTCCAGGGTTTGATTTCCGTAAAGGGCACATGCCTGGGTTCCACCCTCAGTCCCCAGTAGGGAGCGTGCAGGAGGCAGCCAATCAATTATTCTCTCTCATCATTGATGTTTCTCTCTCCCTTCCTCTCTGGAATCAATGAAAATATATTTTAAAAAATATTGAAGATTTGAATCTGGGTGATGGGTAAAAGAGGTTTCGTTTTTAATTTTCTCTACTTAATGTATGTCTGAAAGTATTCACAATAAAATGTTTTTAAGTTTGCAATAAAGATTCACCTATTTCTCTCTCCATCAACGTGACTGCCTTTATTAACAGCTCTCAGCACCTGCAGACCGGGGGTTTCCCGGCCTGGGGCCAAGGGGGGCCTCCCACTCTCGCGTGCTGACCTTCGGTCTCTCGGGCTCATCAGCAGGGAAATGTGGCCTCGCTCCCTAGCAGCGGGGGGCTGGGCGTGGAGCGCGGGACGGGGGGTGTCGAGCACTCTGCCCGCGTCTACAGGATCCCGACGTCTGGGAATAGGAGGGACCAGTACCCACCGCTCCCAAGAACCGCATACGCGGCACCAAGAAACGTCCGTCCCAAGGCGCAGGCTCCGCAAGCACAGGCCGCGGAGGGGCACTTCACTAGCCGTGCGCCCCCACCCAACCTGCGCCGGTCTCGCACAGAGCGAACCCCTGCTCCCCACCCGCCTTGATCCCCCCCAGCCCCTCCTGCTCCCTACCCCCCTTGCTCCCCCGCCCCCTTGCTCCCCCCTCCTGCTCCCTACCCCCTTGCTCCCCCGCCTCCTTGCTCCCCCCGTCCCCTTGCTCCCCCCCTCCTGCTCCCTACCCCCCTTGCTCCCCCGCCCCTTGCTCCCCCTCCTGCTCCCTACCCCTTGCTCCCCCGCCTCCTTGCTCCCCCCGTCCCCTTGCTCCCCCCCTCCTGCTCCCTACCCCCTTGCTCCCCCCGCCTCTTGCTCCCCCGCCCCCTTGCTCCCCCCGCCCCTCCTGCTCTCCCGCCCGCCTTGCTCCCCCCGTCCCTCTGCTCCCCCCGCCCCGTTGCTCCCTTGCTCCCCCACCCCCCTTGCCCTCCACCCCTCTTGCTCCCCCGCCCCCCTTGCTCCCCACCCTCTTGCTCCTCACTCCGCCCGACCCAGAAACGGAATCTCCACTCTCCCTTCCGGCGACCTGGGCCAGCCCACTCCAGGCCCCGCCCCACGACGTCCGCGATTGGCTCACGGAATGAGCACAAACTCTGGTTGGTTGAAATGGAGTGACGAAGGCACAGTCGTCGACTTTCCAAAGATGAGCTTTCGCCTCAGGCTCGAACTCTAGCTGGTAGCGAAACATCCGCGCCGGGGTCTTCCGTACCAGCGGCCCCCTGGGCATTGTTCGGTTCCTCTGGGCTCGTCTGCCCCCTCACCCGCCACACACCCACCGTGTAACCCACAAAGATAAGGGGCCTCCCTCCGTAAGCACGAACGTCCAGGCCCGTTTTCTGAGGAACGCGCGCAGGGCGCCGCGAGGAGGAGCGTGTGCGCGCCGTCCCGGGCGCATTCGAGGGCGTCCTGCTGCGGGAAGTCTCGTGTGATTAGCGCGGAGGTCTTGCGGTTTGGGGTTCTTGGTGGCGAGGTGAAGAGCGGCGGCGGGTGTTGAGAGTGGTTGATGCAGCGGGAGAGCCGTCGGGACTGAGCGTGGGGAGGGGGCGCTGGGCTTGGGGTGGAGAGATGAGGCCAAACTCCTGGGACAGGCGGGAGCTGGGCACGTGCCTTGGGTGGCCCGCCACGTGGGCCGGGCCTCACAGGTCGTTCCTCGAGGTGGCGAGCAGCCGGGTTTCTTCATTTTTTTAAATCTAGTTAGGTTAAGAGGTGATCTTTAAAGTTGCCCTAATTTAAATTCAGAGGAGAGGGGTGGGATAAGGTGCCATAAATTACCGAAGGCTTTTTAAAGTTTTTTATTTTTTTTATTTTGTTGATTTCAGAGTAAGGGAGAGGGAGAGAGAGAAACATCATTGATGAGAGAGAATCATTGATCAGCTGCTTCCTGCACGTCCCCACTGGGGATCGAGCCTGTAACCCAGGCATGTGCCCTGACCCGGTATCCAGTCCAGGACCATTCAGTCTGCAGGCCAAACCGGCTGGGGCTGGAAGTATCATTTTTAAAACAGGTGTGCTAGCCCTGACCGGTTTGGCTCAGTGGCTAGAGCGTCGGCCTGCGGACTGAAAGGTCCCAGGTTCAATTCCGGTCAGGGGCATGTACCATGGTTGCCGGCACATCCCCAGTAGGGGGCGTGCAGGAGGCAGCTGATTGGTGTGTCGCTCTCATTGATGTTTCTAACTCCCTATCCCTCTCCCTTCCTGTCTGTAAAAAAATCAATAAAATATATTTTAAAATAAATAAAACAGGTATGCTAAATGAAGGCAATAGGAGGAGGGAGTTCGTGTGTTTGAAATTGTTTATTTTATTTTTAATCCTCGCCCGAGGATATTTTTTCATTAATTTTACTTTTTATTTTTTTAAAGGAATAACCTTTCTTTTTTTAATATTTTTTTAATTGATTTCAGAGAGGAAGAGAAAGGGAGAGAGATAGAAACATCAATGATGAGAGAGAATCACCGACTGGCTGCCTCCTGCACGCCCCCCACTGGGGACGGAGCCCGCAACCCGGGCATGTGCCCCTGACCGGAATCGAACCTGGGACCCTTCAGTCCACAGGCCTACACTCTATCCACTTAGCCAAACAAGCCAGGGCTCCATTAATTTTTAAAGAGAGGGAAAGACAGACAGCAATATCGATGTGAGAGAAACACCCATTGGTTGCCTCCTGCATGAGCCCCAACCAGGACCCAAGCCCTGCAACTGAGGTACGTGCCCTTGACCGGAATCGAACCCGGGACCCCTCAATCCGCAGGCCAATATTCTATCCACTGAGCCAAACCAGCAAGGGCTAAAATTGTCTTTTTACCTAAGATTGGTTTACCTTATTTGTAATATTTAACAGAATGAAAAGTGGATTCTGAGAAAGGGAGATGACTGCAGGCAAAATGTGAGTGGCCTGAAATGTGGGAGGTGTAATGTGCTAATGACCGTGTCTGTTGTAGTCTGGTAAAAATCAAGGTGACCCCAAGAAAATGGCTTCTCCTCCAAAGGAGGTAGAAGAAGATAGTGAAGATGAGGAAGTGCCAGATGAAGAAGATGAAAGCAGTGGAGGAGAGGTAATTATGTACAATTTAATGCAGAGTCATGTACAGTCGTGTTGTATGTGTGAAAATACTGGCGAAGGTAAGATTGTATTCCTTCATAGATGCCCTGTTGTAATGGTTGAGTGTTTCACAAGCTCTTCATTGACCTGTCAAAATACCATAAAGGTAAGTATTTGGATGAGCTTGAGAGAAAAGATCTGGAGCCGCCTCCTCATGTGCCCTCCACAGGGCTTAGTGTGATGATGTATTAAATCATTTTTCCAGTTTCAACTTGCTAGCCCCACATGCTAGATGAGGAAACAGCCTGGACAGCTAGCTGTCTTGTATGTGGTGGTGCTGGGCATTGTATTCAGGTCTGGGTTTAGCCTTACCAGATTCCTTTCCTAGCTGCCAAACAGGTCTCTGTTCTTTTTTAAAAAAGATAGATATTTTTATTGATTTCAGAGAGGAAAGGAGAGAGACAGAGATAGAAACATCAGTGATGACAGAGAATCATTGATTGGCTGTCTCCCTTACTCCCCCTACTGGGGATCAAGTCCACAATTGGGGCAGGTGCCCTGACTGGGTATTGAATTGTGACCTCTTGGTTCATAGGTCGACACAACCACTGAGCCACACAACTGGGCAGGTCTCTGTTCTTTGTACAAGTTTTGTAACACTAGTCATTGTGTTATAATGTTGTGGGGTGAGGAACGCCAGCTCCCTTTGTACTGACGATGACACTTAGGTACTCTTGGCTACTATTGCTTACTGTAAAGACAACTACAAGTCTTATTTTAACACATAACTTGATAAAACTGGTGGTCAACAAGAGGTAGCTTTGAGTGTGACTTGAATATAGATAATGTTTTTATCAAGTTAACTGCCCACTCTAATTTGTATTAATTTTGCAAGGACTGTCCAGCCTATTTGATACTCATTTTATCTCTGGTCTTAATACTGAGCTTTCAGTGAACTTTATACCACCTCCCCAAATGATTTAATAACACTTAACAGAGCTCTTAGTTACAGAAATTAATTCATAATCCTTAAAATACCATGTAACATTGGTTATCATTGTCAGAAGAGAAAAAAAGGTGAGGCTTAAAAAAATCTCTCCTAGCCCTAACTGGTTTGGCTTAGTGGATAGAGCATCGACTTGCAGACTTCGATTCTGGTCAAGGACACATGCCCGGATTGTGGGTTTGATCCCCAGTAGGGGGCGTGCAGGAGTCAGCTGATCAATGATATTCTCTCTCTCTCTCTCTCTCTCTCTCTCTCTTTCTCTGAAATCAATAAAAGTATATTTTAAAGAACTAGAGCCACACAGTAGCAGATGGGATCTAGACAGTCTATTTTCAGAGTGCATTTAAGGTGTGCTGCTTCAAAGCTGAAGTGATGCCATAACCGGTTTGGCTCAGTGGATAGAGCGTCGGCCTGCGGACTGAAAGGTCCCAGGTTCGATTCTAGTCAAGGGCATGTACCTTGGTTGTGGGCACATCTCCAGTAGGGAGTGTGCAGGAGGCAGCTGATCGATGTTTCTCTCTCATCGATGTGTCTAACTCTATCTCTCTCCCTTCCTCTGTAAAAAATCAATAAAATATATTTTTTTAAAAAGCTGAATTGATTAGAGTATGAGGTGTAGAAATTAACAGGTGTGGGTCCGGAGGTATTTGAAGGGTTCATTATAATTACACATTTTACCTGAAAATGAGGACCGTGACTGCACAGGTATAGAGAAGGACATGTAACATGACGCTATAGTTTAACATGCTAGCATATATCTAATGCATGTGGTCTTGAACTAGAAGGCAGTGCCAGAATTTAGCGCTCATTTATGAGGGACCAATACTCCCTTTTTGAGTTTGAAAATAGACTCATGTTTGTTTGTTTTTACATATATTTTTGTTGATTTCGGAGAGGAAGGGAGAGGGAGAGAGACATAGAAACATCAATGATGAGACAGAATCATTGATCGGCTTCCTCCTGCATGCCTCCCACTGGGGATTGAGCCCACAGCCCGGGCATATGTCCTGACCTGGAATCAAACCATGACCTCCTGGTTTGTAGGTTGATGCTCAACAACTGAGCCACGCGGCTGAGCGACTCATGTTTGAAATTGTTTATTTTATTTTTAATCCTCGCCCGAGGATATTTTTTCATTAATTTTTATTTTTATTTTTTTAAAGGAATAACCCTTCTTTTTTTAAATTTTTTTTATTTTTATTTTTTTAAATATATTTTATTGATTTTTTACAGAGAGGAAGGGAGAGAGATAGAGAGCTAGAAACATCAACGAGAAACATCGATCAGCTGCCTCCTGCACATCCCCCACTGGGGAAGCGCCCACAACCCAGGCACATGCCCTTGACCGGAATCGAACCTGGGACCCTTCAGTCCGCAGGCCAATGCTCTATCCACTGAGCCAAACCGATTTCGGCAACCCTTCTTTTTTTAATATTTTTTTAATTTAATCTTGAGGTTATCATTCCTCAGAAAAAAGGCAAAAAGGCTACCACAACTCCAGGAAAGAAGGCGATGGTTTCCCCAACAGAAAAGATTGCAGTTGCCACAGCAGGCAAGAAAACAGTTGTCACCCCTGGCAAAGAGGCAACAGCTATGCTGGCTCCTGGCAAAAAGGCAGCAGTTACACCAGCCAAAGCCATAGCAACCCCTGGTAAGAAGGAAGCAGCCACCCCAGACAAGGGAGCAGGGAATGCCAAGAATGCCAAGAAGGAAGATAGTGATGAGGAAGATGATGGCAACAGTGAAGAGGAGGATGAGGTTGAATTTGAGCCAGCAGTGATGAAAGCTACTGCTGCTGCCCCTTTCTTGGATGATGATGATGAAGAAGATGGTAAGGCGTTCTATTGGTAGTTCTTGGGCTCTTCTCTTGTTTGCAAGGTACATTAGGGTGAGATTGTGGAGTGGGTGGGCAACATGCAGACATACTCCTTCCATGACACCATGGGGATTAGATAAAAATCCTCCCAGGGATTTTCCATGCTGGTTGTATACTAGGGTGATAGCCATGAATGATTGCCTGCCCCTGAGAAAATGTTTAACACAGCACATTCTATGAGTAGTTTTCATAATAGGGTTTTGCTTCCAAGTAATCTGTTAATTCTTGATAACTACTAAGCACAGTATTGTATTATGTATTTTTTTTCCCTTTAGATTTATCTGGAACTAATGTTGGTTTGAGGATAATTCTCTTGAGTTTTTGACTAGGTAGCTTCTCTTTCAGACTCTGAAGAAGAACCTATGGAGATTACACCAGCCAAAGGCAAGAAAGCTCCTGTAAAAGCTGTTCTTGTGAAGGCCAAGAGCACAGAAAATGAAGACGAAGAGGAGGATGATGATGAAGGTAATTGAGTTAGATTCTAAAGTGTATTGGTATGAGTTTTATTTATTTTATTTTTTAAAATATATTTTATTGATTTTTTACAGAGAGGAAGGGGGAGGGATAGAGAGTTAGAAACATCGATGAGAGAGAAACATCAATCAGCTGCCTCCTGCACACCTCCTACTGGGAATGTGCCCGCAGTAGGAGTAAGGGTAAGGTCCATGCCCTTGACTGTAATCGAACCTGGGACCTTTTAGTCTACAGGCCAATGCTCTATCCACTGAGCAAACCGGCCAGGGCGGTATGAGTTTTATTTAAAGGAGGTATTTGAATATGTGTCAGGAATTGATTGGGTGGGTTTTCATTTAGATTCTGAAAAAGAAGCTGTGAATTCTCCATGGTCCAGAGGGAGAAAAGCCTTTCCTGTGGGGGTCGAGGAGGACGAGCAGGACAACCACTGTGATGACAAAGGCTATGAGGAAGAGGAGGAGGGTCGGAATGACCCAAATTGGCTATGTTAAATGGTAGCCAGTCTCAACGATTTCTAGTTGTAAGGGAAGTCCTTGGGCAGGGACTGTTGGATTTCTGTTATGAACTTGAAGAACTTTCTAATTAATTTATAAATGCTTTTAAAAGTATTTTGACCAGACCTAATCCATGTGTCTTGTGAAGAATAGACATAACATAGGTATGATATTTGTGGAGAATGTAAGAACTTCCAGTTTACTTACTAGTGGCACAGACAGATCAGTAAAAATACATATTTTGACTTTTGCCCACAGATCCTATTAAAAAAACACCTGATAAACAGAAGAAGAAAATGGCCAAACAGAAGGCTTCCCCTGAAACCAAAAAACAGAAATTAGAAGGTAACTCCTTTGTTGTGTTTTTTTGTTTTGTTTTGTTAATTTTCACCCAAGGATATTTTTCCATTGCTTTTTAGAGAGAGTGGAAGGGAGGGAGGAAGGGGGAGAGAGAGAGAGAGAGAGAAACATCAATGTGAGAGAGACACACTGATTAATTGCCTCCCGCACAAGCCGAGACCAGGGTTGGCGATCGAACCTGCAACCCAGGTACGTGCCTTTGGGAACCAAATCTGAAACCTTCAGGTGTGCTAGCTGATGCTCTAACCACTGAGAACACCGGCCAGGGCTCTTTCCTGTGTTTTAAAATATAAGGGACACATAGAGAATTTTATCTTGGTGAAAACCAAATCTTAAATGATGAGCAAGGATTTTAATTGCAGCCTGGTGTTATAATACGCCAGTCTTTGATGAATTTTCTTTTAGCATCATACTTTTCTGAACTGCTTATTTGACTTGTGTTGTTGTTGTTTTACCTTTTTGTATGGCAGCTGAACCACCTGTAACTTTCAAACTGTTTGTTGGAAACCTGAATTTCAACAAAACTGCTGCTGAACTAAAAACTGGTCTCAGGGAATTTTTTGCTAAAAATGATCTCACAGTTGTTGGTGTCAGAGTCAGCTCGTCCAGGTAAATACCGGTAAATTGAGAATGTTGTTAAGAGTTTATCAGCCCAGCACATACTATCCCTGGAGAATTTAGGAGTCCTAGTCGCTTTCTGTTTCACTGTGGGTTACTAGACTTCCATTTTGTCACATTCTTCTATTACTTGCTCTTCGCCCTTTGGTGGGATTTTACCTCAGTCTCTTGCAGTCGAAATGAGTATTTAAAACCCTTCAGTGGCTTGTTTATTAAACCTACAAGATTAAACTTTGCTACCCAATTTTCCCAACCAAAGCATTAAAATAATCCCAAGATCTTCCAAGTCTTTACAAAAACGTATTTTCATGATTTCCCAACTGTGAGCAATGTTATTTGCCTAGAATTATTTTAGCTAAGCCACAAATTTAGTCACAAAACCCCCAACTTTGGTGGTAAATATAGTTCTGCTTTTTTGCTGAGTTGAATTTCATCTTTTCTCACTTCTTTCTCATCAAAAGCAAATGTCTTAGGTGTAAGCATGTTTTGTACAACTCAGAATTTCTCAGGTAGAAACAAAGGTAATCATACTAGTAACCATTTGCTGGGTGCTCACTGTTCAAGGTGTTGCTCTTAGTTTCTTATTTATATAACTCACTGACTCCATAAGACAGTCCTCAGTGGTGATTATTGCCATTATCCCCATTTCATAGAAGAGGTGACTAAGGCACAGAGAAGTTATGCTGCATGCCCAGTATCACAGCGAGAAAGGGGCAGAGCCAGGACTTGAGCCCAGCACTCTGGCTCCAGAGCCTGTCCCTGGCTCTTCTAGTTTTTGTTAGCTATATTTTGGAATATTGTTGCATTTGCAGTAAATAAGGATTCCTTTTGTATTAAGAAAAAATTCTTACCGTAACAGCCCTTGAGTTTGTTAACAGTTCCACATTAGGAATAGTATTTTTGTTCCAGTAAACAAATGCAGATGGCTGCTTATTAAAAATAAAAGTTCAAAAACTTGTCATTTTAAGCTTCATTTTCTATAGCTTTTGGTTAACTCTGGTCAGTTATTAAACAGAAAACCAGTCCTTGCTCTAGAACAGGGCTTCTCAACCTTGGCATGGTTCACCTTTGTGTGGTGGGCTGTCAAGTTCATTGTAGGCTATTTAGCAGCTTCCCTGCATTCTACCCACAAGATAATAGAAGCACTGCCCCAGTTGTAACAGCTGAAAATGTCCCCAGATATTGCCAAACTCGCCGGTGAGAACCACTATTTTCTGGGGACTCCCTGGCACTGATATTGCCAGTTGGTGGAGCCTTGGTTTGAAATTGTAAATTCGGCAACTGCTTTGTACTTGATACTAATTTCCACTCTCACAACCAGTGTGATGAGCCAACCAGAAGGCTTGTGCCTCTTAATTTAACGTGTGTGTGTGTGTGTGTGTGTGTGTGTTTTCCTTTCTTCTTCCTCTCTGTAGGAGATTTGGTTATGTGAATTTTAAATCTGTTGACGATCAGGAAAAAGCCCTGGAACTCAGTGAGACAAAGGTCCTTGGGTATGAAATTAAACTGAAGAAACCAAAGGGAAAGGAAACAAAAAAAGGTATGCAAATAAGGTAATTTGTTTATAGATACCTAAAGGACTGTGACAGGCAGGAATATCATCTTCTGTCTTATTCCGTGCTCCTCGGTTACCAACAGGTCACCTGCCTCCACATCACCAACTTGATCCACCTTCTCTCATTCCCTGTGCTCTAGCTACCTGGCTCACCTTCTCTGTCACAGTTCTTTACCTTACTCTCTGTCATTTTCTACCTTATCTTCTCTGTCACATGTTGATGTTCACTGCAAGACTCATGCCCTGGCTACCTGCAACCCATCCAGCTTAAAGGTCACTTCCTCAGATCCAGAAACCTTTCCTTTACCCCAGACGAGGCTATATCTTCTCCACTAAATGTTCTCATCTCCCCTTTTACTTTTCCTTCCTGGCACTTAGCACAATTTGTAATTATGGGATTGTTTATATACTGGTTTTTCCCCCACAAGACCACATTCCTATATTTTCACAGCCTGCATGAAGCTTAGGCCCTCACCCAACCTATATGTTCAAATATTTGTTTAGTTCAAATATTTGAAGGAGTATGCATTGTTGTTTCCTCTTTTCAACTCTTGTGAAATATTTTTCTTTCTCTCCGAGAGAACTTTTGGTGCCTATGAGATCTAAATGCAGACTAAAAATATTCTTTTCTATTTATGTAGGTCGAAATGCCAAAACACTTTTGATCAAGAACTTGCCTAGCAAGGTCACTGAGCATGAACTAAAGGAAGTGTTTGAGGATGCTTTTCAAATCAGATTTCTGAGCAATGATGGGATAAGTAAAAGGTATGTTTCGTACTGAAAAGAATACATGTCTACTGGATCCAAACGTGACAATTTCATTCCATTCTCCCAAATCATTGATGCCTGATTTTAGAGAATGAAAGAGTAGTTAAGTAGCCTTGCTATTAGAAGGCATATAATGCACAGCCAGACCCTGGTAGAAAACAATGTTGGTATCATAGAAAAATGGAGACTTGTTCAACCAAATACAAGATTGAAGATTGGAAGAATTCAGCCATAGATTATCTTCATTCCTCTCTCTTCAGGGCTAGCTCCAGTAAAATAACACACTTTGTGACTTGCCTGGGCAGGTACCAAAACAGAACGTTAACTTGGTCTGTTAGAATTATATTGTGAACCCTGGCCAGTTTGCCTCGGTGGTTAGAGTGTTGGTCCTCGGATGGATAGTCGCAGGTTTGATTCCCAGTCGAGGACTTGTACCTGGGTTGCAGGTTTGATCCCAGGTAAAGGTGCATGTGGGAGGCAGCTAGTTGATGTGTCTCTCTCTCTCATCAATGTTTCTCTTTCTCTCCCCCTTCTTTCTCCCTTCCATTCTCTTTCTGAAGATCAAAGGGAAAAATATCGTTGGGTGAGGATTAAAGAAAAATAATTATGTTATGAGCAGTTAATGAAAATTATCACCATGTGTCCAAGCTTTGATAGGGTAAGAGGGTGAATATGGTGAAGTTAGAATGGATGGAATAGAATGTACTTTGAAGGGATTTTCAGTGAGGTGAAAATGGAATATCAGGTTTCCAGACACATTTGAGCTGAATTTGTTGGTGTAGGTGTACACTCAAACAATTTATGCCAGTATATTCTGATGAGCATAATCACTAGAAAAGAATCCTGCAGATTTAGAAAACAAGTCTGAAAGCAAATCCCAAATTGTTCGCAGTGTTTTCTGTGAGGAGATTGGCGGGCACTCTGCATGCTTGTGGTCAGCAACAACAAAGCAGAAATTCCTGCCCAAAGCTATATTAATTCTCTAACTTTAATTAAATTGTAGTTAGATATACTTAAATGTTTAGAATCATTTAAGTTTTATTACAAAGGGGAGCTGAGAGAAGCCCAGAAATCCATGACCATATGAAATAAAGCATAGTGCCCAAGTCAGAAATGAGTGTGGTGCGTTCTCTTCAAGAATATTCTTACTGCCCTGACTGGTGTGGCTCAGTTGGTTGAATGTTCTCTATGCACCAGGAAGGAGATTGTCGGCTCAATTCCCAGTCAGGGCACATGCCCAGGTTGCAGGCTCAATCCCCAGTAGGGGGTGTGCAGGAGGCAGCTGATCAGTGTTTCTCTCTCATCGATGTTTCTATCTCTCTTTCCCTTCCTATCTCTCTAAAAGTCAATAAAAAAAACCATAATGGGAGAAAGAAAGAGAGAGAGAGAAAGAAAGAAAGAAAGAAAAAATAATAATGGGGGACACATCATAAACAAAAGTAATTCAAAATGGATTTAATATCTAAAGGTAAGAGTTAAAACTTAGGGAAAAAAACCACAAGAGTAAATCTTTGTGATACTAGGTAAAGATATTATTGTACAGACAATAAAACTGAAGATTGAGATGTTAGGCTTTATCAAAATTAAAAACATTTGTACTTCAAAGGACACTATCCAAAAAGTCAAAAGAAACCACACACTGGGAGAAAATATTGCAAATCATGTATCTGATAGGGAACTTGTATTCAGAACATATAAAGAACTCATACAACTCAAACTAAAAGACAACCCAATTGCCGAAACTGGTTTGGCTCAGTGGATAGAGCGTCTGCCTGCGGACTGAAGGGTCCCAGGTTCGATTCCGGTCAAGGGCATGTACCTGGGTTGCGGGCATATCCCCAGTGGGATATGTGCAGGAGGCAGCTAATCGATGTTTTTCTCTCATCAATGTTTCTAACTTTCTATCTCTCTCCCTTCCTCTCTGTAAAAAATCAATAAAATATATTAAAAAAAAAAAAAAAAAAAAAGACAACCCAATTGCCCTAGCCAGTTTGGCTCAGTGAATAGAGCATTGGCCTGCGGACTGAAGGGTCCCGGGTTCTATTCTGGTCAAGGGCATGTACCTTGGTTGCAGGCTTGATCCCCAGTAGAGGGCGTGCAGAAGGCAGCTGATTGATTTTTTTCTCTCTTTGAAGTTTCTAACTATCCCTCTCCCTTCCTTTCTGTAAAATAAATTTAAAAAAAAAGAAAAGAAAACCCAATTAAAAAGGATTTGAATGGACATTTCTCCAAATAAGATATACAAATGGCCAATAAGCACATGAAAAGATGTTCAACATTAGTCATTAAGGAAATGCAAATCAAAACCATGATGTGCTACCACTTCAACCCACTAGAATGCCTATGATAAAAAAGGCAGACATTAACAAGTTTGGGCAAGGAGGGAGGTGGAGAAATTGGAGTCCTCAAACATTGCTGGTGGGAATGCAAAATAGAGCAGTTGTTTTGGAAAACAGTTTTGCAGTTTCTCAAAATGTTAAACATACAGTTGCCATATGGTTTGGCAATCCTATTAGGTATCTACCCAAAAGAAATAAAAACTTGTAACTACACATTTCTATGAATGTTTGTATCAGATTTATTTATACTAGCTAAAAAGTGTAAATAACCCAGAGTGTACGACAGCTGATGAACAGATAAACAAAATGTGGTACTTTCATACAGTGGAATATTATTCAGTCATAAAAAGGGATGAAATACTGACACATGCTATGACAACATGGATGAAACTCAAAAACATTAGGCTAAGTGAAAGAAGCCAGACACAGAAGATTGCATATTTGTATAATCCTATTGATATGAAATGTCCAAAATAGGCATATCTATGGAAAACATTGTAGTGGTTGCCTGCAGCTGGGGGAAGGGAATGAAGGGGGTGGGAGGGGGGCGGGGAACGAAGAATGACTGCTGAGGGATACCTTTGGGGATGATGAAAATGTTCTAAAATTAGATTATGGTGATGACTGTATAATTCTGTAAATATGCTAGAAACCATTGCATACTTTACATGGGTGAATTAAATAGAGTATGTGGCCCTGCTGGTGTGGCTCAGTGGTTGAGTGTCGACTTATGAACCAGGTGGTCACGGTTCAATTCCCAGTCCTGGGTTTCAGGCTTGACCCCCAGTAGGGGGTGTGCAGGAGGCAGCCAATCAGTGATTCTCATCATTGATATTTCTGTCTCTCCCTCTCCCTTCCTCTCTGAAATCAATAAAATATATATAATAAAAAAAATAGAGTATGTGTATATTTGCTTTTATATGTACAGTTTATTATCTAAGGATAAAAATTGAGTGGCAGGAAGACTTCATGGTATCTATCTTTTTGCATTTTGAATCTTGTATATGTATTACCGATTAAAAAGACAGATAAATACAAATACTAAATGCTGACAGTTCTCTCTCCCCACCCCATCCCCACAACTGCAGAATTGCCTATATTGACTTCAAGTCACAAGCTGATGCAGAGAGAACCTTGGAAGAGAAGCAAGGGACAGAAATTGGAGGGCTTGCCATAGTTCTGGAGCATGTTGGAGAGAAAAATCAAGGCCAAGAAGAGAGGGCCAGGAAGAGCAGAAGTTGGAGAGGTAAGCATGCTAAAGCTCTGTAGATGGAGGCTTACGAGGGATGTCAGTTAGGTTAGGGGCACTTGGCACTTTTAAATACAATTTTCTCCCTGTGTCAAAAACATGTAAGTCATCCTCATAATTATATCAAGCTAATGAGCATTTTCCTAGTTAACTGTAACCTTGTCTGGAAAAGAAATGGCACTTTGAGCCCTGGCCGGTGTGGCTCTTTTGGTTGAGCATCATCAAATGCACTGAGAGGTCCCCAGTTCGATTCCCCGTCAGGGCACATGCCTGGGTTTCTGGCTTGATCTCCAGTTGCGGTCATGTAAGAGGCAGCCAATCTATGTTTCTCTCTCTCTCTCTCCATTCCTTTTTAAAAATTCAATAAAAACATATTAAAGAGAAATGGGGACTTTGGGATACATCAGTTTGGTTTCCCTTTTTGGGTACCCTTAGGCTTCTGTTTGAACAACCTCTTAAACTTGTGGTTTTAGAATTCGATATTTAGTTCTCTTCAGACATTTAATTATTTTTAAAAAGAGTTGTTAAAAAAAAAAAAAAAAAAAAAAAAGAAGAGTTGTTGTCAGGTTTAAATCAGAAACCCCAAGCCAGTGCCCCTAATCTGATGGGTAAGCATGGGGGTTTATACAGTGTTTATAGGAAAAAGCAATACAATTTTTTTTTTTTAAATATATTTTATTGATTTTTTACAGAGAGGAAGGGAGAGAGAGATAGAGAGTTAGAAACATTGATGGGAGAGAAGCATCGATCAGCCGCTTCCTGCACACCTCCTACTGGGGATGTGCCCGCAACCCAGGTACATGCCCTTGACCGGAATCGAACCTGGGACCTTTCAGTCCGCAGGCCGACGCTCTATCCACTGAGCCAAACCGGTTTCGGCAGCAATACAATTTTTTATGAATGTTTTTTTTTTTAAATCAAGACATTTTACATAAAAATTGGGATTCCCAGCTTCTTTTGCTACATCAGGAAATCTGGCCACCCTGTGGCTGGAGCCCTACATGCCTGAGGTCCTACCTGTCTGCAGCCACCTGGAGAGAAGCAGCCGTTTTCTCTTAATGGTGGCATTTGATGTTTGTGCAGCCTCCACCATTCTCTAAGTCAGGGGTCCTCAAACTACGCCCACGGGCCACATGCAAATACAAATATTGTATTTGTTTTTTTACTTCAAAATAAGATATGTGCAGTGTGCATAGGAATTAGTTCATAGTTTTTTTTTTAAACTATAGTCTGGCCCTCCAACGGTCTGAGGGACAGTGAACTGGCCCCCTGTTTAAAAAGTTTGAGGACTGCCCTAACCGGTTTGGCTCAGTGGATAGAGCATCAGCCTGCGGACTGAAGGGTCCCAGGTTCGATTCTGGTCAAGGGCATGTACCTTGGTTGCAGGCACATCCCCAGTAGGAGGTGTGCAGGAGGCAGCTGATCGATGTTTCTCTCTCATAAATGTTTCTAACTCTCTATCCCTCTCCCCTCCTCTCTGTAAAAAATCAATAAAATATATTTTAAAAAGTTTGAGGACCCCTGCTCTAAGTTCTCCCTAACTCCGAACAAGTGAACAAGCACACTTACACTTTGAAAAAATAGTTAATACTTTTTCTTCCAAAGTAGTACTTTCTTCCCTATTAGTAAAGATGACATTTTAACATTTCTTATGCATTTATCTCTTTCAAAAAATAGGAAAACAAAAGATAGAACAAGAAAGCCACACATTTCAAGAAAAATGGGAGAGAGCTTATTTCTTTGTGGAGGTAAAGAATGTTCCTATGTGTTTAATATGCAAAGAGAGTCTGTCTGTGTCGAAAGAATATAACCTAAGATGCCATTATGAGACAAACCACAGTAGGAACCTTGTTGGATATACAGAAAAGATGCGTGATAAAAAACTCAATGAACTGAAAAAAAGGTTGAAACTTGAACATGATTTGCTTTTGAATGTGAATAAAATAACTGATGCTGCAATGAAATGTAGTTACGTGTTACGTGAGAAAATTGCCCGGGCATCAAAACCCCTTACAGATGGTGCGTTTATAAAGGAATGTCTACTGAGTGCTGCAGAAATTTTGTGCCCTGAACAGAGACAAGTGTTTGCCAACATAAATCTCACTGGTAATATTGCTGAGCAGCATGTTGCCAATGTGACTGACAACTTACAGAACACCTTGCAAGAAAAAGTTAAATCATTTGTGGCTTTCTCTATTGCAGCTCATGAAAGCACTTATATAAATAACGCCCCCCAGTTAGCTGTATTTATTCGCGGTGTTGATGAAACTTTTGATGTGACTGAGGAACTTTTGGACATGGTACCCCTGACGGGCACAACATCGGGAAATGACTTATTTTTATGTGTTGAGAAAAGTCTTAGAAAATTTGATGTAGACTGGTCAAAATTAGTAAGTGTTAGCACAGATGGTAATTCTGCAACGGTTGGTGTGAAGCAACTTGTTACAAAACTTAAGTCTAAAGTGTCAGGGCTTTGCAAAGACACAGAACTTAAATCTGTGCATGGCCTCTTTCTCCAAGAATCCCTTTGTGCTAAAAAGTTACAAATGGATCATGTCATGGACATAGTAATTTACACCATAACGTGGCTGCATTCCCATGGCTCGACCCACAGGAAGTTTAGTGCTTTGTTCAGTGAGTTAGACACACAGTATGGACACCTGACCTACATGGAACTGAAGTGGCTGAGCCGTGGAATGGTCCTAAGGCAGTTTTTTGAACTGTTGGAAGAAATTGACATTTTCATGTCTTCTAAAGGAAAATCTGTGCCTCAGCTTCGTAACAAAGATTGGGTCAAAGACCTAGCCTTTTTGGTTGACATTATGACTTATGTAAACATGTTGGATGTTGCTCTGCAAGGGCATTCGCAGATGGTTACACAAATGTACCATGCAGTTCGCTCTTTCCTAGCAAAATTGTGTCTTTGGGAAACTCATTTGGCAAGAAACAATCTGGCCCACTTCCCGACGCTGAGACTAGTTTCTGAGAATGAAAGTGATGGACTGAACTACATTCCCAAAATTAAAGAGTTGAAGACTGAATTTCAAAAAAGGTTCTCTGATTTCAAACTTTATGAAAACGAACTTATACTGTTCAGCTCACCTTTCTCAATTAATATTAATAATGTGAATGAAGAGCTACAAATGGAGGTTATTGAATTGCAGCACAACACTATATTGAAAACTAAATATGATGATGTTGGAATCCCAGAATTCTTCAAATATCTTGGGAACAGTTACCCTAAATATAAAAATCATTGTGCAAAGATTCTGTCCATGTTTGGAAGTACATATATTTGTGAGCAACTATTTTCTGTTATGACACAAAATAATACTATTGCTCCCAGTTAAAGGATTCAGAGATGAATTTGCTCCTGCATATTGCTACGAGAGGTCCCCAACCTGATATTGACTGATGGGCATTAGTGAGTAACATCCCATTTTAGATTTCAAATCTGAGGAGTAACAAATTTAAAAACTCTGAATAATTATTTCTATTTCCAAATTACATTTTTCTAATGTCAACTTAAAGCACAATCTCTGGCATCATTTGTTTGTACCTTATAACATAAAATAAAGTTTGATTATACCCTGGCAGTTTATTTCTCCTATGCTTTGCCTTTCTGGTCCCTAGAATTATACAAGTATATAAACCTCTGCCCTAAAAGTAGCCCTATATTTTCCTAAAGGCACTCATGAGCCAAGGATGTGAACCAGAGAGTCAGCTGGAGAGAATGAATGTTCAGATGCCTAGAGCATTCCTATCCCCAAGGACCACAGACCTGCGGCTGCAATCATGGGGCTCAGGCCAGACTAACCCCCTTCTACGGACCAAGCTGGTGTGGTATAGCCAATGGGCTTCTTAATTGATGCTTCCATTTTGGATTTGCGCACTTCTAAAATTTCAATATTATTGGTCAGCTTACAGTCGGTTGTGGCTGGTCCAGGAGTCATTCTGCTTCCTACAGGCAGGGATGGACATGCCCTTGCATTGGGGCCTGAAGGGATGCAGAATGGATGTTGATGTGTGTAAGAGCTTATGAGCATTTTTCCAGGGAGAAGGCCCATAACTGCAATTGGGACTTGACTGCTCATTGCTGCAGAAACTACTTAAGCAATTAGTTTAATTATAGCAGTCATATATATACATTATGTATGTATGTATGTATATTATTTACATTTAGAGAATATAAGGAAATAAAGGGAAATCCCTACAATCTCATCAACCAGAGGTAAGCCCTATAAATATTTAGGCATGTTTTCTTTTAGTTTTCTATGCATTATTTTATATGGCGGAGTATACAGTGGAACCTCATTTCTTGAACATAATTCTTCCCAGAAGGCTGTTCGAGAAGTGATTTGTTCTAAAACCAAATCAGTTTTTCCCCACTAGGAATAATGTAAATTGAATTAGTTGTTCCAGATTCCCAAATGATTTCCTGGATGTTTTGTTGTTGTTTTGTTATTCCTCACCTGAAGATATTTTTCCCATTGATTTTTAGAGAGAGTGGAAGAGGGGGAGAGAGAGAGAAACATCAATGTAAGAGAGAGACATTGATTGGTTGCCTCCCACACAAGCCCCCAACTGAGGTACGTGCCCTTGACTGGAATCAAACCAGACCCTTCAGTCCACAGGCCTACGCTCTATCCACTGAGCCAAACCTTTCTTATATACAGTACATGTATAGTGCACTGTTTAATCTATAAATAAATACTTTTCTTAAATTTATGGAAACAACCCCAACTAATCTTGAATGAATTTTTCATATATCTCTGCCTTAGGAATGCTATCACCAGCTAACTGCTTTTCCTTTATCCAATCAACAACAGTTTTTCTACCTATTCAATTACCTGTGATTGTTGTTTTGGGATCACTTTCACACCCTTTAGCAACATTTGCATTCTTGATAGTCTATGTTTTAAATTGTGCTAAACAAAAGCATTCTCTCCTTTGTTTGCTGCCTGATAGATGCTTTTTGTCATGCTGAGGTATCAGCATGAAAGGGTTGTCAGGTCAAAAACTGAAGTTTTGGTCTACAACTGAGACATTTTTTCTGTGAACAACTTGGTCAAGAACCGTATTGTTCAAGATGAGAGATGTTCGGGAACCGAGGTGTTAATTTTTTTTAATCTCTGGCCAGTATGGCTTAATTGTTTGGAGTGTTGTCTGTGCACTGGAAGGTTGCCAGTTTGATTCCCAATCAGGGCATATACAGGAAGCAACCAATTGATTTGTGTCTCTCACATCGATGTTTCTATCCTTCCCTTTGTCCCTCTCTAGAAATTTAATTTAAAAAAAAACACATCTGCCCTAGCTGGTTTGGCTCAGTGGATAGAGCGTCAGCCTGCGGACTGAAGGGTCCCAGGTTCGATTCCAGTCAAGGGCATGTACCTTGGCTGCGGGCACATCCCCAGTAGGGGATGTGCAGGAGGCAGCTGATCGGTGTTTCTCCCTCATCGATGTTTCTAACACTCTATCCCTCTCCCTTCCTCTCTGTAAAAAATCAATAAAATATATTTTAAAAAAACACCACATCAGTAAACTCAAAACTGCTTCATAAAAAATAATTTTTTAGCCCTAACCAGTTTGGCTCAGTGGATAGAGCGTCGGTCTGCAGACTGAAGGGTCCCAGGTTCAATTCTGGTCAAGGGCATGTACCTTGGTTGCGGGCACATCCCCAGTAGGGAGTGTGCAGGAGGCAGCTGATTGATGTTTCTCTCTCATCGATGTTTCTAACTATCCCTCTCCCTTCCTCTCTGTAAAAAATCAATAAGATATATTTAAAAAATAATAATTTTTTAGCCCTGGCCTGGTAGCTCAGTTGGTTGGAGTGTCATCCTGATGCACCAGGGTTGCAGGGTTTGGTCTGGGTTCGGGCACATGCAGGAGTCAGCCAGTGAATGCATGGATGGGTAAAGCAACAGGTCAATGTTTTTCTCTTTCTCTCTAAAATAAATTTTTTATTTTTAAAGTATAGTTGATTACAACATTATTTTAGTTTCAGGTGTACCACCCAGTGATTAGACATTTATATAACTCACAGTAATCACCCTAATAAATCTAATATCCATCTGAACCATACGTATTTATTACAATATTATTGGCTACATTCCCTATGCTGTACTTCAAAGATTTTTAAAAAATTAATATTTAGAGAAATGAAAGGAGAGAAAGAAACATCAATTGGTTGCCTCCCACACACGCCCAGACCGGAGATTGAACCCACCACCTTTCAGTGTATGGGATGACACTCCAACCAGCTGAGCCACACTGACCAGGACCCTGTGCTATACTTTCAATCTCTGACTATTCTGTAGGTACCAATTTATATTATTTATTATTTTTTAAATTTAAACTTTTTTAAACATATATTTTATTGATTTTTTTACAGAGAGGAAGGGCAAGGGATAGAGTTAGAAACATCAATCAGCTGCCTCTTGCACACCCCCTACTGGGGATGTGCCCACAACCAAGGTACATGCCCTTGACAGGAATCAAACCTGGGACCCTTCAGTCTGCAGGCTGACACTCTATCCACTGATCCAAACCGGTTAGGGCTTAAATTTAAACTTCTTAATCCCTTCACCTTTTTCACCCATCCCCTGAAAACCCTCCCCTCTGGCAACTGTCAAAAATGTATCTATGAGTCTGTTTCTGTTCTGCTTGTTAATTTCATTTTCTAGATTCCACATTACTGAAATCATCTAGCATTTGTCTTTCTGAGTGATTTTCTTCAAGGGCTGAGTTTATTTGATTCTGCCAGTCAGGGTGAGTTCTCTTGGCTTCACAGGAGCCACAGGGTTGATTTCCAGGGGTGAGATCCCCCTTTCATCCTGCCAGGGTCTGAGAAGGCCAGAGAAACCCTGCTGTCCCGGGAAGGAGCGACAGATCATGTCTGATGACGCCTCCCAGCAGAGGCCCTGGAACCACTAAGGAGCACGAAGAAGCTCCGCTGGATCAGCCCCACTGAGCAGAGAGAAAGATGGGGGAGAGGGAGGCGGGGGAGGGGTGGGGAGGGAGGGACTGGTGCTGTGAGGGCTCTGATTCTAAATACATGGCTCCTGTCTTGGCCTGGCCCACACTGCTGCCTGAAAGGCTTCCATTCCCTTGTTCCCTTGTCCATGAGATCCCTTATTCTCCCCTACAAGTTAAGTCTGCCGCTCCTCATTCTCATTCGGTGACTTCACCTTCGAACTAAACGCTGCTTGAGAAGAACCCTTTCACCCTCCCTCCCTGTTTGCATTTACACACTCACCTGGGGTTGCACACCTCCAGCCTCCTCCCTTCCTGTCCTAAGGTACCTTCTTCCCGCGCTTGGCAGGTCCCTGCCCTGTGCTTACCTCTCCCCTGGTCTTCAGGGCTTTCCTCCATCCTCTATCTCCCTGTACTTTGGGGATTTTTGTTTGTACTGGCTCCTTCCACCAATATCTGAACATGCCCCCGTCTCTGGCATACTCCTTTTTATTTCCTAATTAAAACCAAAATTTTAAGTTAGGAAACACATTCACATCATTCATAATTCAGCAGGTACATATCGATAGGTCTCCTACCCCTCCCCTGGCCCTCAGTTCCTCTGTATGGAAGTAACCAGTATGACTGGTTTCTTTTATCCCTCCACTGTTGTGCATGAACAAGGAATTACGTTTACATTATTTTTCCCACCTATTTTTTTACACATAAAACAGGTTATACACATTCCCCTGTACTTTGCTTTTTTTCATTTAAAGCTATCTTGGAGATCATTCCATATGAATAACAAAGAGCTGCTTCCTCAGTTTTACAGCTGTAATGTATACCAGACAAAAAAATTTATTTCACCAGTGTCTCAAGTTAACTAGCTCCTCAGACAGATGGGCCCACAGTTGTAGTGGCTCAACAGAGTAAAAGTGTGTTTCTCATTCATGCCACAGTTCAGAGCAGTGTTGAAACCGGACACAATGGTTCCGAGGCTGCCTGTCACTGCTCGAGCCAAATTAGGCAGGAGACAGAGTTGAATCATTTATGAGTGTTTATTTCAATACTGCTGGCAAGAAAATGAAAAAATAAATCAATATTAATGGCTGTATGGGGAGAGCAGTTGGTCACCCTGGAAATTCTGCTCTGACCCCTCTCATCAGTTGGCTGATTATATACGAATGAGGGAGAACATAACTACATGTAGCTTTGAGCTGCATGTGTAACATGGAACAGAGAGCGTAGGGCCTGCAGTCCAGCCTTCAGGAGTTCAAAGTCCGATAACAAGGTGGCTAATCTATGATGTTGTTACAAACAGCTCAGCCTGTTCCTGGGACTGGAGGATGGTTAGCATTCCTGAGGCAAACGTCAGGGTCCGGGCACAGCGACCAAATCAAAGCACATCTTGTCCTTGATCTGTTCTCAAAATGTATTTCTTTTCTCGCCGAAACCGGTTTGGCTCAGTGGATAGAGCGTCAGCCTGCGGACTGAAAGGTCCCAGGTTCGATCCCGGTTAAGGGCATGTACCTGGGTTGCAGGCACATCCCCAGTAGGAGATGTGCAGGAGGCAGCTGATCGATGTTTCTCTCTCATCGATGTTTCTAACTCTCTATCTCTCTCCCTTCCTCTCTGTAAA